AAATTAGGTGCCTCGGCTTATATTCGGGTCGGCCTATACTCGAGTATATACGGTACCTTTACCATCTATGGGTCTTATGGGCAAAATAACACTGCCCCCTTTAAAACATAATAAAAATGTCAGAGCTTGAAGATAACTTGTTATAAATGATATCTACATTTATATATTTGTATTTCTTGGGATTTTTTTAATTTTTTATGATTAAAGATAATAATTTTCCTAGTTTAGAAAGATAAGAGCTGATGATGATGACAACGTCAAGAGAGATGAAAATATATTTATATGTGAATTGTAATCTATAGTATTCTGAACTGATTACCTTTATTCCTGCTTGCTACAGGATCTGGGAATCTCCCCTCCTCCTGGCTGCAAAAGAAAATGATCTCTCAGCCATCCAGAAGCTGATAGAGAGCCATTCCTGTGACCTTCATGAACGAGGTAATGGTCCAACCTATTTATCACGGCCCTATTACCTATTAAGAGAAAGCACAATTTGAGGAGCAAAAAGGAGATGGTGGTAGAAATGTGGTTGATTGGCATATGCAAGGACAGCTTCAGATCCTGAAAGGAGCAAGATGACTAAATGCCTTGAACTTCCTTCTGGAAAAAAAATGCCCCTCATGAATCCATAAGGCATATGGCATGATCTCTCTTGTTTATCATCGTCTGTCAGGAGACAGGCCACAAACAAGAGATCCCAGGAATAGACGTGTCCAGCATTCTGTCTGTTGTGACCTATAAACATAATTGTCATAGTTGTAGCTATCGCTAGAGGGACCATCCCCAGATCATTGCAATGTCATGAGAGCTTCTCTTTCTTTGATACTCTTTGTAGGTGCTGTTGGGGAGACAGCTCTTCATGTAGCTGCCTTACATAATAACTTAGAAGCTGCTCAGCTGTTGATCAATGCAGCTCCAGAACTTGTGAATGAACCTGTGACCTCTGAGCTGTATGCTGGTAATTATTATGATTATTGGATTTATGTCTCATGTTTTGAATAAAATATCAATGAAGAAAGCATCCGTTAACATAATTAGTCACCTTCTGGCTCACAATCAGAGGGAAAAAATAATCCCAGAATTTATTTATGGAAACTCTATTGAAATGGGTCTTTTCATGATACCCAGCTATAGAAAATAAGATAAGGGATTACTCATGGCAAGATGTTCCATCATTTTTCTCAAATTACTATTCAGGCCCACTTCCAAGTCTTCAGATGATAATGGGGCATGGTGGACCTTTTCAGTAGGGTTACTGTATGGAAGCTGATTTTCCGATACGAAGATTGCACTTCAATCTATATTTTATTTAGCATAAGAATGGCATATCAGTTAAAAAGAGTCATTATAGATGAATCCCATTTATTCTATAACAGGCTGTGATAATATAACCATTTAAATCCAATTTCTCTCTACAATGCCCAGAAACAATGAAATATTGAACATGTTTTAGGATATATATTTTAGACATATAATTTGGCTAATAACTTGTCATATAAATTGTGTGTGCAACTGTGAATATAATTTGTCTTGTTTATTTGAGAACCTGATATGCATTGTAAGCTAATGTTTTACTTGCTCTATAAACAATTTTAAATATGAAATGAACAACAAAATACTCAAATTTTCAAATGACACCAAATACTAGGAACAAAAAGGAATGGAACAAACTACATTATGTGAATGGACAGCAAAATGGCTCCTTGTAATTCACTGCAATCTAAGCTTCATACTGACAGAATTTGCAGTTCTGGGGAAATGTTTGTGATTCTGGTGGAAAAACATTTTTGAAATTCTGATGAAAATGCTAAGAATTCTCAGTGTAAAAATAAACAGAAGAAGACTAATCTCATGTTAGAGATTATTATTGAAAGGAATAAAAAGTATAATTGCTGATATCATAATATAAATGGATGTAATAATGCAACTTAAAGCACTATATATTCAAAATAGATTAGTATTCTCATGTACGGAGCTTGTGGTGAGATCTGAATCAAGGACTTCACAGTTCAGCCATTTTGCCACTGCCTCATACTGGGCCCCTGAGAAATAACTTGTAAGAAATTCAAGATGGAATATTAAGCAGCACATTAAACATTAAAACTCTTGAATGAGAACCTGGGTATTCATTTTTAACGGCAATTAACTTTGCAATTGCATTAATAATTAAATCCAGCCTCCAAACTAACACTGAATCAAATTCAATTCCCTTCTGCATTTAACCCTGATGAACTTCTTTGAAAATGCATGTGGTTGATATAAACTATAAGTGATTTAAAATATGTATTTATGTTGTTCATGAGATACTAATCCATAAACTACATTGATGAGGCTGATCATGGTTTCCAGAGGAATAACCAGTTTCTATGATGGGGGAAATAATAGAAAACCTTCACTATCTTAAGTTTTAACAACATTATCATAACTTTGTGCTTCATGAAGTACAGGTGTCCTCTTTGTGTTGTGATCCTGTGAGGAAGCTAGTAAGAAGTAGATAGCGCAATCTGAATTAAAGGAGAATAACATTTCTGTAGACATGATGGGTCAGACTAAATTCTCTGTGGTCCAGAACAATGGTGGGATTCAAAATTTTTTACTACCAGTTCTGTGGGTGTGGCTTGGTGGGTGTAGCACAGATTGGTGGGTGTGGCTTGATGGGTGTGGCAGGGGAAGGATACTGTGAAATCTCCATTCCCTCCCCACTCCAGGGGAAGGTTACTGCAAAATCCCCATTTCCTCCCAATCAGCTGGGACTCAGGAGGCAGAAAATAGGTGGGGGCAGGGCCAATTCGAGGTGGTATTTACTGGTTCTCCAAACTACTCAAAATTTCCACAACCGGTTCATCAGAACTGGTCAGAACCTGTTAAATACCATCTTGGTCCAGAACCCAATCTTTTGGCTAGAGTGCGGGCAATTATTTCAGCCCTATGCTTTACTTTGAACATCTAGCCAGTATTTGCCTTGGTGTAAGCCTACTACTTCTTGTTGCAGAGCTTTTTCTGCAGGTGACAGCTTCTTTTAGGGGTGTGTATTTTAGGAGAGGGGGAATAGATTTAATAAAACAGACAGGAAAAATCTCCTCAAGGACTCCATTTTTGTAAGAAAAACTGAGCTCTATTAGTTAAGATCAGTGGCTAATAGATCTTCTCGATCCAACAATAGATTCAGTTCAAAGAATCTGAGTTGAAAAAGACTGATGATAACCTTTCATGACTTTCTGGAGTCAGTATCACCAGAGGCCATGATAATCTGATGAAATAGTTCATGTAAACACATGACTATGCATGCTTATAGCAATAGCAATAGCAGTAGACTTATATACCGCTTCATAGGGCTTTCAGCCCTCTCTAAGCGGTTTACAGAGAGTCAGCATATTGCCCCCAACAATCTGGGTCCTCATTTTACCCACCTCGGAAGGATGGAAGGCTGAGTCAACCCTGAGCCGGTGGGATTTGAACCGCTGAACTGCTGATCTAGCAGTAGCCTGCAGTGCTGCATTTAACCACTGCGCCACCTTGGCTCAACACATACAGTATATACATATACCTGTGTACACACAAAATGGACACATGTGGAATTTCAATATGCTACAAGGGTTTTTAAAAAATTAATGTTGTGTATTGCAGGGGAGACAGCACTTCACATAGCTGTGGTAAACAAAAACCTGGGCCTGGTGAAAGCTTTGCTTGTAAAGGGAGCAGACATAAATGGCCCTCGTGCTACTGGATATGTTTTCAAGAGAAGAAATGACAGTCTTTTCTATTTTGGTATGTTGGCAGTCAAAAACCTTCTGTTTGAATAATCTGCAATTTGCATTGTGCCTTGCATATGTAGAAGAAACACTGTGGTAAGGAGGAGCGTTTTGTCCCTTGTGGCATAGACTGAATTCCTGTTATTATTATAGCACTGAAAGATTTTCCAACTAACTTTGCTCTGAAACAGAAGGTGTTCTCCTCCAAAACATAGTAGTCCTCTCAACTATCATCCCTCTGTAAACTAAAGGTCCACGTGCTTAACTTGCAACTAGTGGGGTCAGGAGGATTCCTTCGAGGGGCAAGGTTAGTTGGGAAAACTTTCATGCTATGATAACAACAGGAATTCAGTCTATGGATCTGATCTGGGATGGACAGCTTTTTTTATCTGCCCATTTTCACAACTCAGTAAGAAGAGGGAAGTGTGCTGAAGATCTCTTAATGGAGAATTAACAGCCCTGCTACCAACTCCTAACCTATTTAGAGGAAGCCGCATTGATTTAAACCTGGTACAAACAAGGGAGGAATTCTCATCAAGAACTAATTTGATCTGCTAAGTGAACAAGAGCAGCAGCTTTCATGCTTCCCGAATCTTTTTTTTTCAAAAGAAGCTTCAAGATGTTTTTAAAGTTGCTTATTTTGAGAGAAAATATGGTTTTAAGGGTCTATTAGAGTAATGATTTTGTGTATTAAAAAAAAATTAAGTCCATAGAACAAGAACTACAAGTGTAGCAGATGTTTGTTGACCTAGCAGTAAGTTGTGTGTGTCCATGTGCCATTACCTCTTACTTTCCCTAAGGATGTCATGTTGTTCAGTTGAATTCCACTACAATTCAGATAAATGGATCTATTTTAGCTATTAGCAAGCTGTTCCACCTCTGCTTTCCTCTGGTATTTTGATTCAGAGACTCTTTTTCCCCCAACAGCAGCTAAATACCAGCCAACAGAAATCCAGATTTCCCAGTTGGCTGCAGTGGAGCTGAAGATTGGCCATGCTATGCTTAGGGAGGCCCCTCATTACCTGTTTCAGACCATAATTAAGCTATGCTTAATAGATCAATTTTCAAGTATTTTGGTAATGACTCCTCATTAATCTTCACTGTGAGTAAATTGTAACACTCCAGAGTGAGAGTGTGAATAAAAGGTGGATATCTCCAGATTCTGCCATCCTATTCCTCTTCTGGTTGCTTATACTCCAACTAATTTTCAATTCTGTTGGGAAATGTGCATTCTCAAATGTTATTTGAATTAGTTTAATGATAGTGGAGACTAGAGTAAAGGGAATCTTTCCTAATTGTGTGGTGTAATAATAAAAAAAATACTGGTACAGTGGTAAGGAAATATAAATATGTTATCACAATGTATGTATATGTAAGGCACATATACTGTATCTATACATAGGTTGTATGTGTGCATGTACATACTATTTTTTCTTGGATATGTTGCCCAATGATATTTTAAAGCTTAAATACTGAACAAAAACAATGTTCCTTCTTTCTTTATTAGGGGAACACATTTTATCGTTTGCAGCATGTGCTGGGAGTGAAACCATTGTCCAGTTGCTGATTGAAAATGGTGCTAAGATCCGAGTGCAGGATTCACTAGGTATGCCTTCTTCAAAGACTCTACACATATATTAAGAGCATGCATGTAGGAAGAGAAGGTGCTTTATGGAACTCTTCCCTTGAGTAAGGCAAACTCCTTCTCTTATCTCTTTCCATTAATATTGTGCTGCAGATGTAGACCAATACTTCCAGGTCAATTGCATAGCTCTGTTATGGTGGTCCTTCTTGTAGAGATCACTTTCTGATATATAGAGCAGGGGGGAGGATCAAACTCAAGACCTGCAAGCTGGATCCAGAGGGTGCTTAGATCCGGTCCATGGGCTACCCTGGAAACAGTGAAGAACTGGCCTGTGGTGCCTCGGCAAGCAAAAATGGAGCTCAGGAGGACCAGGCGCAGCTCACTCAGACTCAAATTTGGCTGCAACGGCCTCCTGCAGCCATCTGCCAATGAAAATGGAGCTTTAGTCCCCCCCTTCCCCCTCAAGGCCACCCTGAGTTCTGTTTTCAATGGCAGAGGGATGCAGGAGGCCATTGCAGCCAAAAACAGAGCCTGAGAGGGCTGCGCCTGGTCCTCCCAAGCTCCAAAAACGCAGCCAAAAACGGAGCTTGGGAGCCCATTTTTGCCGGCAGAGCACTCGGGCCACCACAGGCGCCCCCAACATGAGTGACATCAAGCTGGCCATGCCCACCCCGGGCCCCAAGGTCAAACTTAACCCTGATGTGGCCCTCAATGAAATGGTGTTTGGCACTCCTGCTATAGATAGATCAGTTTTGTCGGAAATTGGGGAAGTGGGTTGGCTTCAGGCTGTATTTCTTTGTCCTCCCTCCAAAAAATATTCACATAACATTTGCTGATCATGGAAAATCATCATGTCAGTTGCAGTGGGTGGAGGCATGAGATTGTTATATGTGTATGTTGGGGGAAAATGCAGATGATGTGAACTAGCTTTAAGAGCAAAGCTATGTGTTCAGAAGAATCACCTTGTTCAGCAATTATCACTTCAGAATTCATGCAAGGATTTAAATACATAATGTCATAGAAGATCATTTTCTGTATCGTATTTGCTTTTTATGAAGAGAGATGCTGCATACTGAATATTTCATCCTATAATGATACGTTCTCCACCGGTTATCCAGAATGATACAGACTGGCTATTGCTAGTTTGATTGACTCTGTTGTTTAAGGAAGATGGCCTGGAATCTCTTAATTTAAAAAAATGTAAAAGTCTGTTCCAAATCATACAGCAGCCAAAACTTTCTTGGCACAAATATTCAGTGCAGGAAACTCCATTGTTTAGTTTTTAAACATTGGACTCCTTTTCCTCCTAAGCCAAAAAAGAACATTGAAGAGTCTGAAAAGGGATCAATGATTTATCGATTTCTCCTTAAAATACAAAGATGAACTTAATTTCTGTTTCTGCTTTATTTCTGATAGGTAATTCAATCTTCCACATCTTAACTCTCCAGCCCAACAAGGTATCTGCTTGTCAAATATACGATCTTCTTTTTTGCTATGACAAGAAAGAGAAGGGTCTGGGAGACCCGGATGCAGTCTTCAACTATGAGGGACTCACCCCATTTAAGCTGGCTGGGGCAGAGGGCAACACTGTGGTGAGTAAAGTGGTTTCTTTACAATTGGTTTTTATTATTTCTTGTTGGAAGTACATGCCCCCTTTTCAGGAAGGATTTAAAGGTGTTCAAACAATAAAATTGTAAGACTCTAAAACAAAATAAAGCTACAAGTGAGCTTTATGAACATCGTGATGGATCAGATTGTTGTCTCTAAGTCCAGTGAGGCTGAGGGAGTTTTATGATCTTGTCCCACTTCTGGACCCACTTTCCAGAATGTTGCAGATTTCAAAGCCTCCCTGGATGAAGGTGAGGAAGATCCCTGAAGTGACAAAGGGGTCTCTTGAGAGAAATCCTGCTATATTTCCTTTGAAAGCCCTCAGCCCAGCTTGCATAATGGGGATGCCAAGTCCTACTACTTATCATGGCCAGTACTTCTCTTCTTGAAAGTATATCTATAAAATCTTCTAGGGAAGACTATCAATCATCCCTTTCTTTGTAAAAATGGAGGTGGATATGTTGTGAGCTTGGCAAGGGCCCCACAAAGGAGAAATAAAATGTATTGCTGTATCTCAACCTTGATTAGTCCCTTCATGGCTCCCTTCTAGCAGGCAGTAAAGAGATACTTCCCTCTCCCCCACACCCATACTTCAGGAGTTAGGTCTTTAAAGGCTGATTGCAGAAAGCGCCTCTGTTTTGGAGCTCTTCAATCAAAAATTAGATATTAATTTTTAGAACATCACTGAAAGGGTTGAAACCCAACCTATATGGATTTTAATGAACATTTTTTTCCTGAGCATTTTATTTTATTTATTCATTTATTTGATTCATATAATTCTTTTTGAAGAGCTCAATTCTGCACCTATAGAGCTTTCTCATCTATATTTTCCACATTATAACAGCTCAGTGAAAAGTCAAATTGAGAGACAGTAGTTAATCAAATCTAGTGATCTGAGATTAGACCCAGGATCTCTTTGATCCTAATTCAACACAATTACGTCAGCCTTTCTGACCTCCTGTACTATAAAAGATTAAATGATTTGATTTAACAGAAGAAACCCCAAACACCTGGCCAAAAAGGAGCATCAGGGCAAACACTTATTTTCGAAACAGAACTAAGGGCTAAAACCCCCAACCTACTAGCTTGTGATGTTACATTAAAGCCACGTTAAATATACAGTAATAGGTATCAGTATAGCCTATTTGACATACATTCTCTGGACAGGAATCTACATTTCAAGGTGGAAGTTTATCAGATTTCCAGACAACCCAACTCTGGGCTGTTTCACAAAATTAAAAAAAGCAAACAAAATTTTATATAAAAAGACAACACACATTTGAGAGAAAAACATAATTTTCTTCCATATCACCCTCAGTTTAAAGAAGAGCAGAGAAACTACAGGAGACAGACAATCCTTCAAATAGTTAGGGAAACTCTGTAAGCCATATTATTGATGATTTTATTATATTCTTTAACTTTTCTATTAGCGTGCATTTTGGTAAATTAAAAGAGAGAAGTATTATGAAAGTTGTGGGAGCAAATATTCCTTCAATAGCAAGCGTCTAGACTGAAACTTTTCTTTTTCCCAAATTAGATGTTCAGCCACCTAATGCAAAGAAGAAAACACATCCTATGGACTTTTGGGTCTTTGACGTCTACCTTGTATGACCTTACAGAAATTGATTCATGGGGTGATGATCAATCTCTTCTGGAACTTATTGTCACCACAAAAAAAAGAGAGGTATTATATTGAAAGGAGGGGCTGCTATGTTTCTTCTCAAAGAGGCTTTCTAGTTGAGAGCCAGGTTTATTCAGTCAGAGCCGATCATCTTTTCTGAAGACAGATTCTTTTCTACAACTGGTTTTTCAAAATGCATCCATAAGACAGTGTGGGATGCCTTCAGCGTCTGCAATAGATTAGAGATTCTGTGGCAGGTATCTGGAGAGTTTCTGACTAATGAGCTCTCATACAATAAGAACTCCAAAAAATGGAACAGCTTTCTTAAAGTCACCCTATGGTCAAAAACCCACAAGTTTAAGTAAATATTAGGCAATTATCTGGTAAAGCAATGGTTAGAATGCAATATTGTAGGCTGACTGCTCACTGGCAGGAGTTTGATCCTGATTGACTCAGCCTTCCACCTCTTAGAGAGTGTTATCCAGCATTATGAAGAGTTATATAAATTTAAATGTTACTGCTATTGCTATTGTTGCCTTACATTGACTGAATGCTAAGGACCCACGTGTGTTATCCGATGCCACTCCTATGGTCATACTGGTTGAATATGCAATGTTTAAAAGAATCAAAGGAAATAATGCGACCAACCAGCATATGAACTGGGTTTTGTTGGTGGAATTTTTCGTGTATTTCAGCCCTGAATGGTCATCTGCCTTACTCGAAGATCTCACACATCTTCAAGCTATGTTCTGTCATTGCATCTTCATCCTTACCGACTTCATAATTAGCATTATCCATTTTCATTTTTATACACTGAAGACTTCCAGCAAGGACTCCAGGGCTCTTTCCCCAAGTAATGAGAAACTGGATCTTTCAATACATTATCCAGGAGTAATGCTGTCTTTTAAAAATGATCCAACTGCCCCCTTCATTTTCAAGGCCACTTTTCCTGTCTTTGAGAATTATTTGTTTTTAAGAAAAAAGGCTGAACACGGGTATTTTACATCCCTCAGGCCCGAAGAATCCTCGACCTTACTCCTGTGAATGAGCTGGTTAGCCTGAAGTGGAATAAATATGGACGGCCATATTTTTGTATTCTGGCCTTATTCTATGTCCTGTACATGATTTGCTTCACAATGTGTTGTGTCTATCGACCGCTGAAAGAGCGAAGCTTCAACAAGACAAATGAAAGAGATAACACAATCTATGTTCAGAAACATTTGCAGGTAGGTTCTTTAACATGAGTCTATTAAAAATGTAAAAATCATTTATAATTTTCAATTCCAGGAGGCCAACTTCTCCAAAAACAATGCACAACCAGATATAACCAAGGGATGAAGAACAATTGACTTGGGAGGCAAAAAGTGGTGGCATTGTTCATTTGATGTAACTGTGTGTGTGTAGGGGGGGACACCCCTACAATAACAAGATGGTGCTCTATAGAGCAATTCTGTGCACATTCATTCAGAATTTCTCAGTACCCTATGGAGTTTATTCCCACTGCAGTGTAAGCAGAAGTTTTGAGCTTGGCATCAGCTCAAATAATATCAGGCAAATTGGTAGCTAGAGGGAAAAGTGTGGACACTATTAGTTCAGTTCATGGATTTTCCAGACAAATGATAATAATTCAAAAGACTCCCTGAAAATTGCTCTTTAGCGAGTGTGGCAGTTAATGATCCGACTATGCGAGAACACATTTTAGGCAAAACAGAAATATGTACAGAAATATGGTGGGAGGTTTTCCATTACCTATGTGCTGCTATTATGCTCCTGTGAAGGAAGAAGAGTGGCACAGCTGTTGTGCTTGAGAGCTTCTTTGACCATAAATTATGGTTGTACTAATATGTGTGCAACCTTTATTTTCTGTGTTTATCAAATAATAGGGGATTTTCTACACAAACCATATTGTGGATGTGTAATGACCATATGCAAGGCTTCAATTCATTTAGCGCTAAATTGTGGCAGTAAATTTGGTGGAAGATATGGGTATTCATTTATGCTGATTTCTCCCACAGGAGCCTTCCTAGCCTTAAATAGAACTATAAGCAAATTAGTCAAATGTGTGAACACTTTCCTTGCAAATCTTCACATTAAATTCATGAAATTCTTTTTCAGTAGATAAACACAGGATCCCTAAAGTTGAATAGTTTAATATTCTTAATAAACAACTGAGTTCCCATAGCGTACTTTTTCATCGGTACATTGAGAGTTTCTTTCCCTTGAATTTGGCCTCTCTCTTTCTCTAAAATATCACTGTCACCTAATACAATAATTTCTGTTGTCATCTGTCACAATTTTACTTCTGGAAGGTTTAGTTTCCATTGTCATAACAGGAAACATTAGCATTTAATCTCCTGAGAATGAGGAAGTTGAAGCCTTTTTCTTTTTTAAAGAAAGAGAGGCAGATAAATGGACATAGCAGAAATGAAGTCAAACTTTCTTAAGTTATCAGAATGTCAAGCAGCTGGCTCACTTTGCCTGGAACTGTATTAATTCTAAAAATTGATTATGAGTGGGATTCCCATCTGAAAAGCACATTAACTCAAGTTATTAAGTAATCCAGCATGATTTAGGTTTCTAAGTTTCCTGCTCTTTTTTTCCCTTTTCTTCAAAATTTTAGAGTGATGTGGGTGATAATCAAAATAATTGTGCAATTTTCATTAACCGTATCTAGAATCATGGGGTGGATTCTACTGTGCCAGTCTTGAGCTTGCCCACTATCCTTTTGGGAGTTGTACAGAGTGTGACAGGTCTCCAAGGAAAAGGCAAATTGATGTCTAGTCACTAATATTGTTTCTCTGACTTGATGACAGAGTGCAGATATATTCTGACTCACCACTTTTATTGATCATCATTGTCATCTTGATCTAAGTCCATAAAACAAGGAAGATGGATCCTTGAAATATTAATTCTTGAGACTGTGATACTCCTAACCAATATGGGTTTCCTTTCCTTTTCAGGAGTCTTATATTACTTCTGAAGATAATCACAGACTTGTTGGTGAGTTGATCACTGTTGTTGGAGCCATTGTGATATTGATTTTGGAGGTAAGAGAAATGTTTTTCCTTCTCCAATTATTATGTTGGGGGGGGGGAACCTAAGTAGAAAGTAACTGAGCACCAGAAGCAGCATTCTATAATAGGATTAGCAATATTATTTAATAGAAGTTCTTTCTAAATCCCCTGACCTCTATATGAAGGCTGCTACAGTGTACACACTAGAACCTAACCTAGTGCAGTGCTAATCTATAGGGTAATACTGCAGTGCTTAACTAAGAAATCCTAAAGTTTTGCCTGTGGAGAGGTCACAGGCATTTTGAACCAGTGGTTTTTGCATCAGGGCATGACTTCTCCAAAATGAAAAAGAAGGTCTCAGCATGTAGTAGTTGCAGTCCAGATAATTCATTCAGATTCTAGCACTGAAAAAAAATGTTGTATCTCTGAGACCCTTTGACTTTTGGGGTTTCTTTTATTTTTTGGGGGGTGAGAAAATGAGCCAATTGTTTTAAAGCAGAACACACCATTGATCAATGGATTTATTCCAGATTCCAGATATCTTCAGATTTGGAATTACCAAATACTTTGGGCAAACTATCCTCGGAGGACCTTTCCATGCCATCATGTAAGATTATTTTCTAGTAGTTGGTTTGCTGTTGAATGTTGCTGAAAAAAACCACTGCACAAATCCTATTCTTCATTGCTGCTTCTATCTCTGCAGTATTGTGTATGCCTGTATGATTCTGCTGACCATGGTGATGCGTCTCACCAGTACCAATGGCGAAGTTGTACCAATGTCTCTGGCTCTGGTGCTTGGTTGGTGCAATATTATGTACTTTGCACGAGGATTTCAGATGCTTGGTCCCTTTACCATCATGATACAAAAAGTAAGTGATTGCCACAAAATATGACGTTCATACATAGATGAACATAGATTAAGGATATGCTGATGCAGTGATTCTGGCAACATTTTTTCATCATAAATCAGAAGGTGATAGACTCATAGAATTATAGGGCTGGAAGGGACTTTGGAAGTTTTCTAGGCCAACCTACCTAAGAGTCCTTATACATCTTCTATAAGTAGAGTAAAGATTATCTATCTATCATCTATCTATCTATCATCTATCTATCTATCTATCTATCATCTATCTATCTATCTATCTATCNATCTATCTATCTATCTATCTATCTATCTATCTATCTATCATCTATCATCTATCATCACTTTCTGATCTAAGTTTTAGTCTTTCTTAGCAAGTGAAAAAGATGTATCTATCTTGAATTCTCTCCTAAACCCTCATCTGCAGATTGCTTTTAGTTTATCCCAGTTCTCCCCAGCTTAATCATCTATTCAACAGTAAGGAAAAATAGGATTCTTCTTTCCATATCTTTGCAACTATCCTTCAGATCTAGCATGTAGAGTGAGATATACTGCTATTTTTCATATATTCAAATATTTCTGAATTCCTAACTGGACAGTTATATGAAGTATCAATCACATCTAATTATTATCTAATATCATTAACTGTACAGACTCCCTTTAAAAAGAATTCCCACCCATAACTAACTTTCTCCTTTAAGCAAGCTTTCCCTCACTCAGTATTCAGCATATCATCTGCTGTCAATCATTCATTTATTTCTCTTCTGTTGCAAAGAAGGATGCCCCTATGGGCATTTCCATCTTCAAGGAAGCTCTCCACTTCTTGGAACCTTGACTGTTCTGCGATTCCCCCACCCACTTTTGGGATGGGAGTAGAAAGGAGATAGCAAAGGTAAAGGGACTTCCTAATTTTGAATATTCTAGGGCCTTTTTGGAAGCTTGTGTTTGTCTGTGTTGAATACTTAAAAAGGTTCATTTCCATTGTGAGTTTAGATTGCTTGGCTGTTTCCTTTCTACCCTGATAGGTAATAAATTCAAGACAGAGAGAAGTAAATATTGAGCAGCTGGAGTTCAATGGTTCAGTAGAAAAGTTCAGTAAAATAACTTTTACAGTAATGGCCACTAGCCTAAATGGCAGTGAAAAAGAATTTGATAAATACGTTGACAAGGTAAGAGAGAGAAAAGCTGTTCAAATCTGCTACCCATAATGGCTTTATAAAATCCTAATGCAAATAAAAGAGGCAAATGTGCGAACTGTTTCCATCTTCATATCCAACTTGAAACAGGAGCAATCAATCAAAATAAGAATATACCAGTGCAGTCCTGCAAACAAACAAACAAAAAAAATAGAACTGACACAGTCAAACCTCAGAAGAGATACAGATTGATTAGCCCATCTGAAAACTTCTATTGAAGGATAGTTGGGATTTGATTGACAGGAAACATCAAAATTGTCTAGAACAAATAATTTAAATTCCACAGTCAAGATAATCCTGTTTCCTCACTCCACTACTGAACTCCCTTATATCAGGGCTGTTCTGTACGGCTTCCGTTTTACTACTAAATATGTTCATGTTGAAATGACTATTTCCAAAATTCTGATTTCTAAACTAAGGCTTGGAGTCAGGATGACCTTTTCCTGGGACCCTTCAGATGGGTTAGACTTCAGCAGCCATAATTCCTAACTAATCTTCTCTCAAGGAAAGAAGCGACTTAGAACTGAGGAGTAATTTCCTGACAGTTAGAACAATTAATCAGTGGAACAGCTTGCCTGCAGAAGTTGTGAATGCCCCAACACTGGAATTTTTAAAAAGAGATTGATAACCATTTGTCTGAGGTGGTGTAGGGTATCCTGCCTAAGCAGGGGTTGGACTAGAAGACCTCCAAGGTCCCTTCTAACTCTGTATTCTATTCCATTCTACTGTACTGTACTGTACTCTATTCTACTCTACTCTATTCTCATAGCCTTTAGAAACAAATAGATAAGGATCCTTTGAAGTTGGAATGGACTGGAATGTTTAATCTAGAGCATCTTGGTCTTGATCTAGAATGCTGTTCCTTGGATTTTGTGTGAGAGAAGAGCTCTTGGTCACTGTATGTTTTTCTTTCTAGATGATATTTGGAGACCTCCTCCGTTTCTGCTGGCTTATGGCGGTGGTCATCCTTGGGTTTGCATCTGGTAGGTGATCTATTTTAGACCACATTCTTGTGATCTTGACTTACAAAGAAAACTGTAGCAATTCCTGAAAGCACAGAGAGTGGGAATATTACCAAATTCCTTCCTCTTGGCTATAGAATATCTTCTGTTACAGCCATATCTTTGATTTTTCCTTTTGTTTTTATGCTACTAACTAATAATAATAGGAAGTGTCTATATACATAGTATAATGTAATCTTGAAATTAATAATTATTATAATAATGGAAAAAGGAGGGAGCTTCCCACCATTTTTATTGGATTGCAATGTGTTTATCTGATTGGATTCTATAGTCTGAAAATTTATCTGAGGCTGGTACTGGTTCCTTGATATGCTGTGTAAATATTTCCTTCTTGCATTCTCTATCTTCCTTTTCTCTATGTTGTCAGATAATATACTATTTAATTTATTACTTAAGGTAATAGCTTCATGAGTCTGATAAAATAAGTTATGATTAATGGAAGTGAATGGCAGAGTAATTGATTAGACAACCTGCCACAAGACTCATAATTTTAAAAACAATAGATTGCCATTGCCTATCTTAAGCTGGCTGGATATTTAACCTTTATTGTGCCGCTTATTCTAATGTATCAAACCACAAAATGGAATCTGAAGTGCTTTAGAAGTTTTGCCAAGATTCTCTACCTAATTCAGTGCCATAAAGATATATGGTATTTCATAAAACTGTATGTATAATATTACAAATCCCTCAATGTCATTTTTAAAAAAAATAATTGTATTATTTTTAAAGAATATAAAAATTTACTAATTTCAATAAGTTTATACATTTTAATAATTACATGTTCATCATTTATACACAATTCTGCCTCAATCTTAGAATGTTTAAAACCATAGTCTTTTAAAGTGTTTTATTTTTCAATATTTCTAGTAAGTACATATAAGACGACCGTTGACAATTATAAAACTTTGCTACCAGTTATTCTTGTGATATTATTTTAACTGTTTTTTGACAAATTCTATTATTTGTCAAATAATAAGTCAACCATTTGTGTTTGCCTATTATTTCTATTCTGTAATGTGCTTCTTTTGCTGAAAGCCACAAGGTCATTTTTGGGCACAACCTGGGTTTGTATCTATTTTATGTTCTTAACTAGCATAATGGTTTTTGAAATCCAAATTTACCTTGATTTTATCAAACCACAAATATCCATGCTACTCAAATTTCAAGTCATGTTCTCCTAACTCTAAAAGCCTTCTATATCTCCATAGAATTGTTCTGATGTAGGCTTCCCCAGCAGCATGAAATTCAGATCTCATCCCGATAAACCCCTTTAATTTAATTTACAGTGAATTCCTCTCCAGCAAAGTCTTTCCCTTCCCACAGTCTTTCAAGATAGTCCACAATTACCAACCTTTATCAGACTTGGAGAGTAGTCAGGCCGATATCTTTCAGACACGGCAATACTTGGCAAGAATGCAGGAATGAACTGTTTCCTGCAAACTCCCCTCCCCTTTTGCTCCTCTTTTATTCCCTATTGGAGGAGCCATTCACTGTCCACCTGTGGCCTTTCTCCCAATTCGACCCTTGTTCCTTAGCTGTTCCCTTTATCTGGCAACTCTGTGCATGCACAGACTGTTTGTCTGCCTCAATGATGTCTGACTCCGAAGGCAGCTGATAACTGTCAGACGGTTCTGGCCCCCTCTCTGCCTCTGATGTGGAGCTCTCGTCAGAGTCTTCCTCAGACTCCAGGACTGGCCCATGGTCCTCCCCAACCTCCTCACTGTCTGAATCTGCTGCCAGCTCTGCTGGCCGCTGGTGGGCCACAACAAGAACTATCTATTATTTCATCCAAACCAAATAGCAAGTTCTGAAACACAATGTCAAATCTGATAAACATGGCCCGCCTCTTTTCTTTGTGTCTTATAGCACCTTATATTTAACTCATGTTTCCCCCTGCCACATAAATTTAGAGATTCCTTTTGCCACTTTTTAAATGGTGCATCTGTCAGAAGAGTTATTGTATGAAACAAAAATATCATTTTAGGTAGAACGTTCATCTTTGTCACATAAGGCTATTGTAATTTCTCCCATTTTAGCATATCTTTTAAGTTAATTTCAAAACCTAGCATAATTATGTTGAAATAACATACAGTTCATACTTGACATGTTACCCAAGTATTTACCTACCTCTCAGAGTTAAAACCTGTTTTATTCATCAGTTTTGTTTCAGCTTCTATTTTGTTATTTTTCATTAACATCTTCAATTTCTTTTTATTAATCTTTAAATCTGTTAGTGCATCATTTTTTTTAAAATTTACCCAATAACAGTTCAATTTCCTTTAAAAGACCTTCCAGAATCCACACCAATTCATTTGAAATATCTTTAACTTACGTTTCTTTTTTTTAATATTTATTCTCAAAATTGTCTCATCTTGCCTTATCTTTGTTCCTTATTTCCTTATTCAATATTTCCAGAACTAAAATAAACAAGAGAGGGGACAGTGGACATCCCTGTTTTGTTTGTTTTTGTACTCTTACATTTTTTTTGTCAAATGTTCATCAACAACAATTATTTGTACTCTCTGTAAGTATAGAAAGGAAAGCTGTTAAAACTTGGCTGTTCCGGCAGGCCTGGGGCTGTTGACCTCATTGTTAAGGTCCAGCCCCGATTAGAACGAATGCGTATCTTGTGAATTTTTAAACTATCCTTTTTTAATTTTCCTTTTCTTTTTTTTCTCCTCTTTTGTAAGCCGCCCGGAGTCCTTCGGGATTGGGCGGCATATAAATTTTAACAATAAATAAATAAATAAGATCTATCTTATCCATTTTATAAAGATCTCTCCAAAATTTGTATCTTCCAGAAACTTAAATAAGGAAGCCCAGTTCAAATTGCAAAAAGCTTTTTCTGCAACAAAGATCAATGCAGCTTGTTTTATATTATGTTGCTCAGGTGTTCCAAAATGTCCAATGCATTGACCATTAATTACCTTTTAAGTAAAACTCCACATTGATCCTTATGAATATTTTTTTGCAAAATTATTTTCAGTCTATCAGTCCATCATTATGAACAACTTATAGTTATAGCCCTGTAGTTTCTCGTTAATGTCAAATCTTCTCCCTCTTTAGATATTAATGTGCTATACTGACCTCTTTCTAATTATCTGATATTTTTCTTCCTCCTTCTTCAGACTTTTCTTTTCCATTTTTTCACTTTTCCCTTAAAATTGACAGCACTTTTTTTTCTCCTCAATTTTTCTCCAATCAAATTATTACTCTGCTAATTTTTAAAAACCATTGTAGCATCCTAGATCTGGATATATGTAGATTTGATTATTATCCTCAATTACACATCGTGTACAATAAAATATATACATGTGCATGAGTGAACAAATTTGGAAGCTACATGTTTGGTTTTTATGACTTGAATTCATTGTGTTTTGTAAAAGGCTATAAAAGTTCATCCTCAAAACTTTTATAATGAGAGTCTGATAATCTATTTGGTTTAGGTCCTTTTTCCAGTTTAATCTTTTTTATAACATTAGAAACTTCTCATATTACTATAGGTCAATTTATAATCTTGTGTCTGTTCCTCTGTAATCCTCAGTAAATTTTGTTTCTTTAGATAGTCATCTATTTTCTCTAGAGAGATGTCACTTCTTTTATACAAATTAGAATAATATTGACCATTCATAGAATAGCTCCAGCTTGTAATTTAAATATCATTTTATTTTTGTAATTTATATGCTAACCACTTCCCTGGTTTATTTGCAAACTCATTTTTTTGCTTTGCATAATTCATTTTTATTTCCATTTCTCTTACTGTTAACATAGATAATTGTTGTTGTAGAAGCTTAATTTGCTGAGAAATATTTATCTTCTCTGGATAATTTTTTAATTCTTCTTTTTTCTTTATCTCATCTAAAATAACATGTATTTTCTCTTGACTTTTTTTAAAAAAGTTTTCTGTTATATTGTATAAAATGACCTCTAATAAAAGGTTCTTGAGAACCTGTTTAGTCTAATGGTTAAGGCAACAGGCTAGAAACTGGGAGTAGTCCTGCTTTAGGCTCAAATCTGGGTGACCCTGGGCCTGTCACTTTCTCTCAGCCCTAGGCAGGAGGTAATGGCAAACCATTTCTGAAAATAGTATATCAAGAAAACTGCATGCACTTGTCCAGGAAGTCCCAAAGATTGAACACAATTGAATAGAAGAAACAATAAAAATAAATGCTTTACTCACATACAAAGCCATTGTTCAATCAATTGTTTCTAGGTACCCCTGGTGCTTACCACATGTTACAACCATACTATATAAACAGTCTGTATGTTAACATTTCTAAAAGTTTTCTCTTCATCAAATTGAGAAAACCAGTGCACATAAAAATGATTTGAGGAGTGAACAAATGTTCTCTCTCTCTCTCTCTCTCTCTCTCTCTCTCTCTCTCTCTCTCTCTCTCTCT